TCAAATAAAAAATTTTTCGAAAGAGGCTGTCAACACAAGGGTTTGTAAAAATAAGGAAAAAATTACAAATAAAAAAAATTTTGAAAAATTTTAAAATTTTCCTCCCTTTTTCCAAATAGGAGGCTTTTATTGTTTTCTTAATTTTTAGTCAATAATTTTAGTTATTCCACTAGGTGTGTCACTTCTGGGAATTTAAACTACAGACAAACTCCTACATGTGTGGAATGCTAAATACTTACAAAGATATTCACTGCAGTATTATTTATAATAGCAAAAGCCTAATATTAGGACATTAGTTAAATAAATTGGGGTACATCCAGGCAATGGAAGGCCATTCAGCCTTTAGGAAGGACAATGTGCCAGTTGGGAACCAAATCCTAAAATGTACAATGAAAAAAGCAAGGTTCAGGGTTGCATGTCCAGTATGCTATATTTATGTAAAAAATAAAAATATAGGAGCGCCTGGGTGGCTCAGTGGGTTAAAGCCTCTGCCTTCGGCTCAGGTCATGATCCCAAGGTCCTGGGATGGAGCCCTGCATCTGGCTCTCTGCTCAGCGGGGAGCCTGTTTCCCTTCCTCTCTCTCTCTCTCTGCCTGCCTCTCTGCCTACTTGTGATCTCTGTCAAATAAATAAATAAAATCTTTAAAAATAAAAATATAGATACATATACTCACACACACATACACTCCTATATTACCAGAATATCTTTGCAAGGATACACAAGGAGCAGTGGTTTTCTCTAGACAGAAGTGAATGATTAGGGTATTGGTATCTGTGTCCTCTCGTAACTTCTGGTTCTTTCACCTCCTACTCAAAATATGCTAAAATGTTTCTCTCTGTCTGGGTCCAACCTCAGATGGTTAACATAAGAGAAAACACTGTACCGAAATATTATAAAAATCACAGAATCAGGCTCACTGTCTGGTTTCATGTATGTTACCTTTGTGTAATAGTCCTGAGCTACATTTCATGAGATCATGCAAGCTTCTCTGTAGCCTGAAATCTGGACAGCTGTGAAACATAATCCTGGTAAAACAAAGTTAGGCGTTGTAGGAGATAAGACCTGCAAACCGACTGCTTAGAGTAGCTTGAATAACTCAGTTGCTTATTTGGCTAAACATGAGTTAAATGGGCAAATACCAGGCATCTATGGCAGTACGATTTAAGACACTGATGTTAGGCCTTTGTAGTACTTTCCTAGACCTGCCTTAGTAAAATACCACAAACTATGTGGCTTAAAAGAGCAGAAACTGTTTGTCTCATGGTTCTGGAGGCTGAAATCAGGGTGTTGGCGGAGCCATACTCCCTCCAAAACCCATAGGGAAATCTTCCTTGCCTTTTGGCTGCTCCTGGGGATTAGCAGGCAATCTTTGACATTCCTTGGCTTGCAGCTGCATAACTCCCAATTTTGCCTTGGTCATCATATGGCACTTTTCCCTGTGTGCCTCTGTCTTCATATAGCCACCTTCTCATCAAGATACCATACTCCTACCCCAATAGGGCTTCCTCTTACCTTAATTAACCATAACTGCGACCACTCTGTTTCCAAATAAGGTCCCAATCTGAGATACTAGGGGTTAGGATTTCAACATTATCTTTTTTGGAGGGACACAATTCAACCCATAACCACCTTTGGGGAGAAGGTGAGAGAGAATGTAAAAGCCAAAGATGCGGGAACCTACAAACACTGCATTCGGCCTGCCTGGGTCCTATTGGTGAGATTAAGTTATAGCCCCAGCCTTCACCCTAAGAGCACAGTGAAGATGAGTTAGCAAAAACTTCAATCTGGGCTCCAGAGGAATTTACAAATTCAGCCCCATGTAGAGCCCTCCCCACCCCACCCTGCCCTTCCTGGTTCCTGCTTCATTGATGCGCATGCTCTACCTTCAGCCACTGCCCTGCTACCCCTGAGTTAAGAGAAAAAGGGAATGTACTAAGAAAGGTCAAATGACAACCCCACCCTCACACTCCCACCCTCATCAGATCACAGGCTTCACACCAGGAAGACTTGCGTTGGCTTATTGTGCTATTGTGCTCCGCGGGCCCCTCCTGCTGTCCACGTAAGCACCTTTAGCACACTCTGAGAGCTACAAGAGCCCACAGATGGAAATGTTCTTGGAGTAGTCCCAACTGCTCTCAAGTTTCTGTCCAAAGACGTCCTTTTTGAATTCAACACCTGTTGACCACTAAGCCTATTAAGAGTCTGTTCACTAAAGGCCAGTTTTGACTGCTTGGTTCAATCACACCTCCACTGCGAGCCCTTTCTGGGTGTCAGTGGGCAGGATATGGACTTCTGTTTGTTGTCTCAGAATTCATACACCCCCTTTTCTTGCTTTTCTGTGGTACTTTATATTATTAATCCATTTGCATCTAAGTGTTTGAATCTTACTTTCCCAAACGCAGCTTAGAGTATTTCTTCCCTTTTTTCAGTGGCCAAAAAATTTCTAAAAATGCAAAGAGAAGTTATCTTTATTTTTAAACGGGAATAGGTCACAGTAATGCAAAGCGATAACATGTATTTAACACATATACATGTGCAAAACATAGATGCTTATTGCTTTGCATTATGGCAACCTTCTCTTCTCATATGAATGTGTATTGAATTTATACATACACACGCACATATATTTAGAGTAGTTTTTTTTTTTGGTGTGATAACTATGTAAATCGCCCTAGTGATTATCCTGCCAATATTTATTCCCTACTCCATTCTCCCATTGTATATATATTTTTTAGGAACCACTGACCTTTTCTTTAGAGTCTACAGAAATAATTCTTGCCGTGTATATGAAATGATGGCTGGGAAGGATTTTTATTTTTAGCATGACATTTTTGTCAAGGTTGATTGATTTCCTATTACCTGCCTGATTTTTAGAAATGCAAAGGACCAATAATTGTTTTGTTTTTTAAATCAACTACACTTGGAGTTATTGTTCTGTAGACTCCAGGCCCCAGAGAGTGCTTGCCGAATAAGTCTAGTGGACATCACTCTGGGGAAGGCAGAAAGCAAACAATGGTCCTGCCTTCCCCAGCCCTTGGAGCAGCAACTGTGTTCTGGAAAATGGGAAATATAAAGTAGGAGGAAGGTTAGATTTGACTTAAAATTGTCATTTTCTGGTGTGCCCGGGGGGCTCAGTGGGTTAAGCCTCTGCCTTCAGTTCAGGTCATGATTTCAGGGTCCTGGGATCAAGCCCCACATTGGGCTCTCTGTTCAGCAGGGAGCCTGCTTCTGCCTGCCTCTCTGCCTACTTGTGATCTCTCTGTCAAATTAAAAAAGAAAAATTGTCACTTTCCAACTGGGAGAATGTCATTTTTTGACATTGCTTCAGCTGGGGCTTAAATGGGAATGTATAATGTGAGGTATGAAGCACTATCTCCTCAATTTGTAGAAGTCGCCTAATAAAATCTTTCCAAAAAGGAACACGCCCACTCATAAATCAGTGGAGTCGATTTCTATCTATACCCTGCATTCTAGAATTTAGATACCAATGAGAGGCTAACCTAAGTCGTGGTTAACTTGGATTGGTTGGAGGGAACAACTCCATGCTCCCCTTGGTCTAAGAGGTGGAGTTTAGAGGACTGCATGCTTCCTGCTTACTTCCTGCTCATCAGGGCATTTAAAGCACAAATTATTTAATTCCATACTACTATCAGTACTTCGTTTCAAAAGTCCTACACTCCTTGCCTACCACCGCCCCAAGTAGGGTGACGTGAGTGAGTCACTCTCCTGGGAGTGAAGCTCAATAGAGGCCCAAGAAGTCTCAGTAACCAAGATATATAACATTTTAACGCAAATTTTTTAAAAAAATGGTAAAGTAGGCCAGCTGCTAACTGCCTATTTCTGTAAATAAGTCTTTCAGGGGTGGGATTAAGAAGGGAAGAGAGAGGCTGGATCGCGCAAGTGCACAAATGCATTTGAAGTGTTGATATATTTGAAGCTTCGATGTATTGCTTATCATGGATGTTTTTGCATTAATTTTGATTTTTTTACAAAATTAATTTTGACTTTAAAAATATTGCATTAAAATATTTATCTTGACTATTGAAATGTGAGGTTTTTTCCCAAATCCATAAATTTTGCAATTGAGCCAAGTGTCTCTCGCTAGCCTTACCCTAGTATCGGCCCTGTAAAATTACGAGTCAACAAAAACCTATCCACCTTGTTCAACCATGACTCTTACATGTGAGAGAATCGGGCTGCTCCCCTCCCAATCCTCAGCGTAGGGATGCTTTCCGCACCATGCAGTCTCCTTGCGGGACTCCCCGTGGGTTTTAGGATCCTCTCCTCTGGCTTTCCTTGCACATGTACTGAAATACAAATGGCACTTGGATTGGTCCTGCTCTGAACAGCCAGAGTGCCTCGACTGTGTCTGCTTTTGCACTTCGGCTCAAGTTACGAAATGATCTCTTCCTCTGCTCAAAGCTAGCCAGTTCACTGCTCGCCCCTCGCCCACGACGTCCTCCAGAACGCCTCCCACAACTGCGCTGACCCGCAGCGATGTCTTCTCAGTGTTCCGCGTCTCAGTCCGGTGCTCTGGAGTGGGACACAGGGTGACAGGACCAGCCCTAGTCTGGGTCGCCGAGGCCGCGGACCCGCCCCAAGCGCCGACCCGCGAGCTGTCCGGCAGGCCCATCCTTTCACCGGTCATCGTGTGATCTCGTCTGTGCGCTCCGCCGAGGGCTCTGGCGTGAGAAACGGCTCGCGCTGCTTCCAGGTTTTTACGGGAGGATGCTGAAAAGCGCGAAAAAGCTCCCCGCGCGATAGTGCGCAGGCGCAGCGGCCCCCGGGGCTTTCTTCAGCCCGGTCTTGGAGGAGCAGGCTGCGCGCCCAGCGCTCGCCAGCCCGGTGGGGGCGCTGCGGGGAAAGCGTCCGAGGCGGGACGGGGCTCCTTGGAGGGGGTGTCGGGCCCCGGTCGCCGGCCTGGGGGGGCGGGGACCCGTGCGGGCGGAGGGCGGCGGCTGGGATGGGTCTGGGGAGGACGCGTCCCCGGGCGTGCACGCGGGCCGCGGGCCGGATGAGACGGGTGACGCCGGGTGACAGCGGGCGGGGCGGCGGGCGGCGCCGCGTGCACGCCCTCTGCTCGGCCGGGCCGCGAGGGTCCTCGGACTCGGTGCGCGCCGGGCCGGGCGGGCTGAGGCGCGCGGGTCGGACGCGGCGCCATGCAGGGTCCACTCGCTTGGCCGCTGCGGCTGCTCGGGTGGCGAAGCCCGGCCGCCGACACGTGGACCCTGGGCGCCGGCGTCCCGGGGCCCCGACCTCCGCTGACGGGCCTGTGGCCGGCGCGGCCTTGGGGCGCGGGGCCGGGGCTCCTCCGGGGCGCCGGCGCCGCGCGAGACCCGCGTCGCTGGACTAGCGGCTGCCCGGGCGGGGGTCCCCGCGGCCGCAGCGGGGGAGCAGGCCTGGCGCGGCTTCTGGGGCTGTGGGCGCGGTCCCCCGGCGCCAGCAGGTGCGGGGCCCTTGTGGGGCCGGACGTTCCCCGGCTCCGGCGCGCTGGGCTCCGGGGCGGACCGGCAGTCGCAGCCCGGGGCGGGGGCGAGGCCTGGCAGCGCGGGTCGGCGTTGCCTGCGGCCGCGGCGACTCCCGGAGACAACTCGCGGCTACACCCTGCCGCGGCCAGGCGCTCGGAGGCCCAGAAGCTCTTGGGGCTGGCGTACCCGGAGCGCGGGAGGCTGGCAGGTAGGGCTTTCTCCGTCCTCTCCCCCTCGGCGGGTCCGCGCACCTAGCGCGTGGTCCCGGGACACAGTGGGGGCGGCAGGGAGACCCCGGGCCACTTGTGACACAGTGGGGAGGGACGGGCTGGCCCTTTTGTGGGGATCTTTAGCAAGAAGTGCTGAATGGAGCGCTCACCTCTCGGTAGCATTGTCGAGCCTTTCAGGTTGGCTGAGAATCTGTTCTCAGTTGTCTTTTATGTTTGTTTTCTTGGCTTGACACACACAGAAGGGCAACAGTATCTCATTATTGGAATCTTGGGGGCCGTTCTGCTGTGGCATTGCCAGCGTTCTCAGAGTGAGCTGGGCTCCCCCTCCTTCCATTTGAAAATTTATTCTAGCCAAAAATATACCTGTTTTGTATTATGCAGTTATACCACTTCTTATAAACATTAGGTATTAGGCTAAGCGAAATGAGATAAAGACAAATACCGTATGATTTCACTCATGTGGATTTTAAGGAACAGAACAGATGAACGTAGGGGAAGGGAAGGAAAACAAAATAAGAAAAAGAGAAAGGGAGGCAAACTGTTAGAGACTCTTAACTATAGGGAACAAACAGGTTGCGGGAGAGGAGGTGGACGGGGGATTGGGTAACTGTGTGATGGGCATTAGGGAGGAGGGCCCTTGATGTAGTGAGCCCTGGGAACTGTATGCAACTGATGAATCACTGAATTCTACCGCTGAAGCTAATGATACACTATATGTTAACTAAATTGAATTTAAATAAAAAATAAAAACATTATTTGCTTTAGACAAATTTGTTAAACAGTCAAAAATTTTTTGCTATGTGAAGCGAAACAGTGGAAACTTTTCAATTTGTTTCAAGTGCTTTTTGCCTCCCTGAGTGGTAAGCAGGAAGTTACTACCTCTTCAAAGAAAATCAAACACTGGCATGATGAGCAGTTTGTGTACTCCAGAAAATATGAGAAACTGTAGATCATAACCCAACTAAATCATAATTGAGTAATTTTTTTTTTACAGATTTTTATTTGACAGACAGATCACAAGTAGGCAGAGAGGCAGGCAGAGAGAGGAGGAGGAAGCAGGCTCCCTGCTGAGCAGAGAGCCCCATGTGAGGCTCGATCCCAGGACCCTGAGATCATGACCTGAGCCGAAGGCAGAGGCTTTAGCCACTGAGCCACCCAGGCGCCCCATAATTGAGTAATTTTTAAAAGAAATCAAAACGAGGCGCCTGAGTGGCTCAGAGGGTTAAGCCGCAGCCTTTGGCTCAGGTCATGATCTCAGGGTCCTGGGATCCAGCCTGCTCAGCAGGGAGCCTGCTCCCCGCCCTCTCTCTGAGGGCCCCTCTGCCTACTTGTGATATCTCTCTCTCTCTCTCTCAAATAAATAAATAAATAAAACAAAATCTTAAGAAATCAAAACAAATGTTTTTAGAACAGTTTTCAGTAGCTCCTCTTTTAACCATAGTAGGGGAAATGTTTACATGCAAGTTTTTGAGAGTCCCCTAAATCTTCATTTCTTTAATTAATATTTATTGAGCCCACTCAATGTACGGTAGGCCATGAGGTTACATTGGCAAGCAGAAAGAAACATGGTTCCTGTTCCCCTTAGGGCTTCCAGCTTAGTGGGGGAGGAAACATAAGTGAAATAATCCTATGACTAGAGATAAAAGTGCAACCATGATGAGGGCATGGGAAGAGGGCCTGTGAGGTTGTCAGATGCAGCCCTTGAAACAGGTCAGAATCCCACATGCTTTGCTGCAAATCCATTGCTTTCAAAAGAATTTACTAGAGTCATTTGTGTTGTAGTGCAGGTAGAGTAGGAATCTTCTACCTCTGACTGACCTTTGAAGCTTAGGGCGATTCTTGGTATCACAGAGGTATAAAGAGAATTTATTTCGTTGCTCGGTTGGCCGTATGTAGATTTTGATGGAAATAAAGATCTTTTACTTTATTAAAAGAAAATTTTGAGACTAGGTGATCTCACTGGACTATGAGCTGCTTGAGACAGGCGCTGTGTCTAATTCTGTCTAGTTCTTAGCATGTATGCAGCACAGAGCAGGGGCTCAGAGTGCCCGAGTTGAGGGAATAAATAATGGTCCCACCAGGCCCAGATTGAGGCCGAAATTTGGAGACCCTGAGTGCTACAGGGTATGTCTGCCATTCCTATATGCAACTCAAAGTGAGCGCAAGGAAAGCCAGTTTTGTTTTGTTTTTAAAGATTTTATTTATTTGAGAGAGAGATCACAAGTAGGCAGAGAGGCAGACAGAGAGAGAGGGGGAAGCAGGCTCCCTGCTGAGCAGAGAGCATGATGCAGGGCTTGATCCCAGGACCCTGAGATCATGACCTGAGCCAAAGGTAGGCACTTAACCCACTGAGCCACCCAGGCACCCCAAGGAAAGCCAGTTTTGTTTTATTCCTGAAATATCAGGTGCTGAGAAGGTATTTTAGGTATCAGGCTTTGCTGCTGCCCACATGTGCTCAGCACTGTGCATAGCCCAGTCCTACCTTTCTCGTAACCATCATCCCTGTACCTTCTTTCCATTCCAACATGTCCTACCATGCTAGTATGTTGAGAAGACAGTTTTAAATAAAGCAAGAGCTGTACCTCCTTTTATTTTGAGAAGAGCGATTTTGATCTGCCTCATTGAGTAATTTTGAACATGTCATTTGAGAAAGTCCGAGGTTGATACACTAATTTTTTTTAACAGATAATAAATACATATTGTATCTTACCTGGAAATCTGATGAAAAAACCCTTACTAGGATGTATGGAGTCCTAAAAAGCCATTATATGTGATATATTGAAGCCAGTCTGGGTGTTGGCGTTTGTGGGGTTAAAAGGAAGTGGGGCGCCATCTTTAATTTGTAACCTATCATCATAAGAGCAGCCTCAGATGTTGGCACATCTCTTTGAAATTTGGATAAAGAGCTGCGTGTGTGTGTGTGCGTGCGCGTGCACGTGCGTCAAACCAAAAAAAGCTGAGCTGAAGACAAGCAATTCCAGTGTTAATTTGCCAGTTTTTAGGAAAACAAATGCAAAAATCCTTTCTCAACGATTCAGCTATACATTTGATAAACAGTATTTTTATCTGTCTTTAGCAATTTGCTGAGTATGCTGCCTGAAGTCCGGGACCAGAAGACTTTGATCTGAAGTAATTTATATCAGAAACTTTAAAATCAGGGTCTACCATTTGAAATGTTTCCAGATGTGTGTGGAGAAGAGTTTTAGCGTTATTCCCACCCTCCTCCCAAAGGCACTGCAGTCCTCTCACGGGCCCCGTGCTCCCTGCCCCTAGGCTCACTTGGTATAGGAATTCGCAGCCATCTTCCTATAGCCATGGCCCACAAAGTTGCTCTCCCTTGTCTCTCTCTTATCACCTTGGCCAGAGGAGTCTTAAAAGATACAGGAGCTCGCTGGGGAGCCCTGTGGGTGGACTGCTGGGATAAGAAGTAATTTGTCCGAGCCCCTTGCTGCGTCTGGCAGATAGAGGGAGGCTGTGGAGGGCTTTAGCCATCCCACTGAGTTAGGGGCAGGAACACTGCATAAATTGATACCAGGAGTGAGCTGTGGGTCATTGGAGCACTGTGAGGTTATAATGACAATGCCAGCCTGCAGGTACACAGAGGCAGACTGCGTTCCCTACACTTCCCAGGCAGATTCCTGGTTACACGGTGCAAGCAAGGTACACCTCCACCCCTCCACCCACGCTGTTCAGTTGAGGCCTCTGTGGAGAACTGAGGAGGGTGCCTCTCGTTTCAAATACTGATAAGGGCTTGTGTGGTTTGAGATTAGGACTGTTCTTAGAACCCGATGCCCACCAGGAGCTTTTGCTGAATTTTTTTGTTTCATTTCTTTTATGAAGGGACCAGAAAGAACAGAGTGACGAAACCACTGAATGCAGAAAGCAAAGAGAGGGTGAGCAGTGCTTAGAGTGGCTATTTCCTGAAGCCCAAGTCAGGACAGACGCTGTACCAAGGACAGTGCTGCCGGCACAGGGGGCCGAGCCTCTGAAACAGACTGCTCCAGAAAGCTGAGGACGTTTGTTTGCCCTGGAAATACCACATTTCAGAGAAAACGTGAACATTCTGTAGCTGTTCTATGAAATGTGTTAGAATTGATTGAAGCAGACCATGCCTATCATATTTTAAAAGAACTCGGTATGAAGAGAAGTAGGGTTCATTATTTTTATGTTGATTACGGGTTGATCGATATTTTGGCTATATTGGATCAAATACACTGTTGAAATTAATCTTACCCACTCTTACTCTTTTAATGTGGCAGAAGATTTGAAAGTACATAGGTGACCACTGTCTTCTGTCCACTGAACACCGAGTGCTGGAGTCAAAGGCATTCCTCCCACGGTTGCAGATACGGCCCAGATGCCTCAGTCTTCAGCACATGCTGGCAGTCTGGAAGATCTTTGTTCTGCAGATTGCTCCGTGAGCCTGAGCAGTTTCCTAAACTCTGTTTCCTGCTAGCCTGCCAGCTCCTGATGCCTTCACTTCCTTTCCCATCCAGCTGACGTGCCAGGTTTCTTCCCCTCACCCTCTAACCTGCAATATCCTCTCCTCCTTTGTGCCCCATAAGACCCACCTTGCATCCACGGAGAGTCATAGATGCTTGGGCACTCAACATGTGCAAAAACCAAAGTTGCCTTCCTCCCCAAAGCTGCCTTTTCTGCTCTGTCACTTCTCCCCGAGAGTGGGCTGCTGTGTGAACCCCTTTGCCAAAGCTGGAGACATTCTTGGTGCCTTGTGAAGCTAACGGTAATGAAGATAATAGCTAATTATTGTTTGCTAGATGTTGGGCTCCGTATCAGATGCCTCACATATATGTGCTAATTTACTCCTCGTAATGTTTCTGTGAAGGAGGTATAACTTTATTGCCATTTTATAGATGAAGAAACTGAGGCACAGAGAGGCTCAGTGACTCACTGGAGGTCAAACAGCTAGATGGCAGAGCGAGGTCCAGTTTAGAACCTATCCTCCTATCATGCTCCC